ATTAAAATGAAAAAATAAAAATTCATTTATATAGTTTAAGACTCAATTTAACAAACCCAACAACTTTTAGATCGATATCTTTTATAGTTTTCTTGGAAAAAATTCGCGAAAATAGCCTTTTTTTTAGGTGCTCAGAGTAGAAGGTCCCCTTAAGTCTCACTACACTGTTATAAATTATTTTTATCTTTTCTTTTATTTCTTTTTTTTTTTTGGAAAATTTCTTCATTTTTAATTATTTAATTTAATTAGTATTATGTATTATAATTTAATATTATATATTAATGAATTAATTTGATGACATTTTAGTGATATTAATACATAATTATGTATATTGTATTATACAGGATTGAAATATATTATAAAATGAAATAACGAAATAATAATTGTCAATAATACATAATAATATTTCAAACTAAATCGAAAAATGTAAATTGTACGAAAAACTGTATATCCTTTACATAGTTAAAAAGAAATGAAATGAAATTAAATTAAAAGGACAAATTAATTCTCATTAATTAATCAATATTAATATTAGGTATACTTCTTACATACTTAAATTTAATTTAGAAACTAACAATTGTTATATAAAAATTGTTTATTTATTTTTCAATGAAAAATGCTTAATTTTCTTCTTTTTTTTTTTTTTTTTGGTTTCTTTCTAGATTTTCATAAATCATCAAATTCTTTCGTTATTTTTATTTTATTTTATTTTATTTTATTTGATATTCAGACAGATTTTCTTCTTAATAAAATATAAATCAAAAGATATTATACAAATGAATAGAAGTAAAATATGAAATTATGGTGAAAATTTCGTCAATTATAATATAATATATAAACGTACCTTTTGATCCTTTTGCCAAATGCACTGACCCCTTTTACCGAGCACACGACATATCAACTTTGCATCCTGACCGGGATTAACTTCCGTGTACTGCGGCGTTTCCTCGAATTGCTGTATACCGTGACAAACTGTAAAAGATAATTAATTCTATTGGTTAACGAGATTTCTCGTTTAAGTAAGTAAATAAGTAAGTAAATAAGTAAGTGAAAAAAAAAAAGAAAAGATTCATTAACTCTCGAGAGGAAAGATTTATTCGTGGCTGATACTTTAACCCTACCCTACCCCCCTCCCCTCCACCCTGTATTCCTTTCTCCCACCCTCAGGTTAAGATGCTCAGGGGTTAAATTGTTTCGAAGTAAGAAAACAAAAATTTCGTTTTAACGTTTATTAAAACGAAAAAATGTGAGTTAAAAGGAAGTTGTAAGGGGTAGGGGTTGGAGGGTAGGTAAGAGAGTGGGGGGTTGGTTGTTAAATGAGAATAGGAGAATAACGACTCCTTGTATTTCTCGTAAATCGTGGTTTACCTAGCCAAAGGGTATTTAACCCAGTTGGTTCTCATTAAATAACCAAGTCAGTTATTTAATACGCAACTTTGTAGATTAACTTAGTCAACCAAGCCCTTGGAAATTTGTCGACAGTAGTAGAAGAGAGAGAGAGAGAGAGATAGAGAGAGAGAGAGAGAAAGAGAAAGAGAGAGAGAGGATATCAAAAATAAAAGAATAAGTAATTTCATTAATGTGTTTATAATAATAATTTTGTTTAAACATTTTCCCCCTTCGCATTATTTAACCCTTATAGGTTGTCAGGATTTTTATATTGATGATTCTTATAAGTATAAGTTATAAGTAGTTGCAATTATAAAATAAAATTGTGTTTAGTATTATAGGAATAATTTAATAATTTAAATTAGTATTTTAGTATTTAAGAATAATTTAATAATTATTTTGTAGAAAATTATTTATTTTCTTTTTTATTTTTTGTTGTTGTTGAAGGAAGTAGTAGTACTATAAATATATGAAATTATTTTAATAATATTTAATATTATTAATAACATATATTATATTTTTAATATAATATTAAAATATATAAAATAATTAAATAATTTAATATAACATATATTATATTTTTAATATATGTTGTATAAATAATATTACATTTTACAATATTTTTTTAATATAACATTTATTAATAGAGGGTTGAAATATTTTCTATTATCTTTGACGTAATAATTTTCTTTTACCATGGCACATTTTCTTTTTTCTTACTAATACTCATTAACATAAGTTATATGTGATTTCAAATATACAACAAAATTTGTATTCAGTATTATAATAATAATTAATTATTTATTAGAAAATTATTTATTTATTTATTTTTTTTTGTTTTGAAAGAGCATACTACAAATATATGAAATTATTTAATTATATTAAATATTATTATTATTATTAATAACATATATATTATATTTTTTAATTTTTAAGTCACATTCCACGTGACATATACAACCTTTCGATAAACGGGGTTAAAATATTTTCCATTTATCTTTGACGTAATAATTTTTCTTTTGTACGGTGCCATATGGTTTTTTTTTTGTTTTTTTTTGTTTTTTTTGAAGAAAAAAATTTTTTTTTTTGCAAATCTCGAATACGCATACAAATCGATAAAGTTGATTTGATACGAATAACAGAAAGAGTAAGTGAGTGAGAAAGAGAGAAAAGTCAAAGCTTCGATGATATGGCACGAATGCATTTACTCGTTTTGTTGGATATATGTTGAACGTATGGTGGCGTTGGCAACGTACTGAGCTTTCGCAGGATTGCAATGTTAAAAATTCAATTTTTCACCGAGGCAAAAATGATTAATAAAGCGCTCGCTCGTATTCGCTTTCGTATATGTTCTATTCGCATATACACAAACACAACGAAACACACATGGGGAATAAGTTTGCAAAATTAACAAAGCACCGGGCTACTAGCAGCTAGGCCACTGAAGCTCTCTCTCTCTCTCTTTCTCTCTCTCTCTCTCTCTCTGTCTCTCTTTCTCTTTCACTCTCTTTTTCTCTCTGACCGTGTTTCGCGAATCCTCCCAACACAATATTTACGTATTCCAGAGGAAAAAAGAAACAATTCAGAGCCAATTACCGGTGTGCGTATTTTTTTCTCCTATGTATATATATATATATATACGTACGTAACCGGAATAAAGATAAATGCGATTCATACGTGAGAGAATACAGGTAACACGGTCTTGCTGTAACACGGATTCTTCATATAACACGATTTTCAAAAAAATAATTTACGAGAAATCTTCATGCACAACATTGTTTTATATATAACACTGAATAATATGACTTTGTTTAATATATTTCAAAAATTGAATTATCCTAAAATCTTGAATTTAGGATCTCATAGAGCCACAATTCATAAATTACGAGAAGAATCTTTTATATGACACTGTATTTTTACAGGTACTGGATAATACAATTGTTGCTGAATATATTTAAAAAAAATCAAATTACTTTTAAAATAATAATAAATTCAAGGCCTCTTATAATACGGTTTTTACTAGGGAAACTTTTTTTACAGCATTGTATTTTTACAGCACTGAATAATACAATAATTGCTTAACATAATTCAAAATACAATTACATTAAAATAAATTCTGGTTCTCATATAACATGGTTTTACTTAATATAACAGTTTCTAAGAACTTATTTATCATGTTATATGAAAATTACTGTATAACTGTATATATTCTCTTTCAAATTTTTCTATTATTCGTCTTAATACAATAAGAAAAGAAAAGAAAAGAAAAGAAAAGAAAAGAAAAGAAAAGAAAAGAAAAGAAAAGAAAAGAAAAGAAAAAGTATTTACAGATAAAAGATTTTACAGTAGACACAAGACTCTTGTTAAAAGGAAGTTTTAACCGTGCAAAACTAGCAAAGCACGAACAGGACTCGTGCAAGGTGTCGAAAGACGGGGGTGTGATTCGTAGATAAGGTAAAGTCAAGTAACTCTTCAAGGCAACAGGTTTCCGAGTAAATTCGAAGCTTATTCCCATCTCCTATATACACATGACAAAGTTTGTTAATTGTGTTTAGACGTCGTCCGTTTGCAATCGCACAAACTGCAAATATATTTACTAACTACAACAACAACAACAACAACAACAACAACAACAACTAACCCTAAATTCGAGTTTATCTCACTGGTCGTGTATGTACAAAACTGTCTGAGACCGATCAATAATTCCTAACTAACCATAAGTTCTAATTTATTTTTAGGAATCATTTTTATCTTATATTATTTATTATATTGTGTGGCATATAATTATAAAAGTGACTTAAGTCATATATTTCTGTTTCTATGAAAATTTAATGCCACATTTGTTGATTTGGAATGAAGTTCGAAATTAGTGAAACGATTTTAATGAAATTTTTTTTTTATTGCGTGTGATTTTTTTTATTTTTTTATTGCTAATTTAAAGATTTATTATTTAAAGGTTATCTAGGTATTTAGGTATTGGAAGTTTTCAATAGGTGGAGGTTGTATTACAATTCAATTATTTCACGTTTTTTTTTTCAGATTTACGTACGACATAACCTTATTTTGCTTTTTATATTATTTTCGATTATTATTATGTTATATTATATTATATTTTATTATATTTATATTATATTATATTATTTTAATATTTAAATATATTATTCTTTATATTATATTAAATTTTATTATATTTATATTATATTATATTTTATATTTATATTATACAAATATATATTTGAACACTAAATGAAATTTTATATAATATTAAAATAACAAACACTATTTGATGATTCATTTTTGACAATATAGTAAAAATTACATTGCAATAATTTAGTTTAAAATAACGTCATGTAAAAAATTTGATAAATTCATTTATTTTAATTTTTTTGATTTACAATTAGATCACTTTCATAATTATTGGCACATATATATATATATATGTGGAACAGAACAAAGTTCTAACAAAAGAATAATATTTTTATTACAATTTACAATAGATACACCTTTTTCCATAACAATACTTTTTTTTTTCCTTCAAACAAACTAACATTTAATAATCTACGAGATGCGAATGTTAAAGGTTTACTTCACTTTTGATTTTTTACGGTTGAACGATCAGTTCCTAACTAACTTTTTCCGTTTGAATATGGTGAGTGAAGAAGTAACGGGGTTTCGAAAGTTTAGTTATTTCTCGTGGCAGAGTTAAAAATCGTTCGTTTCGTTTGGAATTTGGTGTTTATGGTTAGTTGAAATACTCGTAGATACAAAAACAAAACAAAACAAAACAAAATCAAAAGAAGAAGAAGAAGAAGAAGAAGAGGGATGAGGATGAGCAATGTTGAGAGTTTCTCTCAATTGTAAGGGTATGGTAGGGATTTAAATTTGCTTTATACACGTGACCAATACCACTAAGACTATTCGAGAAGGTGAAAAAGAAAAGAAAAAAAAATCTACCATTCGTTATAATCAAGCAAAAGGTATAAAAGTTTAGCAAGTACGAAAAAGAGGGTGTGTTTTATCCGTGATTGTAAGTTGAAATTAGTACGAGTATCGTACTCGTACTTTTTACAGATGCAATGAGAAGGAAAAAACCACTCTCCTTATCCTTTTTCCATCAACCTTTCACCCTTTCACTCACCCCCCCACTCTCCCTCTCTCTCTCTCAAGCCGAATCAAAGTTAATTAACGATGAACGGGAAGATAAAGTTTTTTTCAATTCGATGGAATGATTTTCGAGGATTTAAAGTTTTCTTCGTTATTACCGTTTCGGTCTGCAACGAAAAGAAGGTGTGCGTCAGTGGGTGGTTATGGTGGTGGTGGTGGTGGTGGTGGTGGTGAAGAAGGGTAGTAAGGGGGTTAGAGAAGGGGTTTGAGTTCCAGACGCACGATGTCGCAAAGTTTTAAAAGCATTCCGAGATTTTTAACGTGGCGCAAGTTACTCGCTTAAAATCCTAGCGCAGAATTTTATAGTCGATTTGTCGATGGTGGGGGAATCTGGGAAAGTGGTGGGGGATAGTAGGGAGCATAATTTCATCGTAAATTATATCTCTCGCAACGTCGGCTAACTTTTTCTTTATATGCTC